TGTCTGTATATATTGATAGAATAGGAAACAAGGCCAATTTTTCAGTTTACAGTAATTTACATTACACAGTACATCACAGTAGATCTTCAGATGCTGTAATCAAAAATATTTTCTTGGCCAACAGCCCTTTAAAGCAAAACAGAACTTTATAAAAGTTAATCCACAACAACAGTAGATCAGACAAAACTATGATCAGGACAGAACAATGATCACACACCATGCGTCACAGAAGAAAATGAGAAATCTTTAACAGAAAAAATTCACAATCTACACTCCACAGAGTACAAAAAAGCAACTGCTATATTTGTCATGCTGTATTTTATGCTCTAGAGTCTATACACATACACAACTCTCAAAACAGGCTGTTTTTTGGCACAAATAAGTCATCACTGCAACAAAGGCAGGCAAATGAAGAAAATGACTCCATTACATGCATTTCATAAGATACCTGGACTTTGAGTTTACGAAACGATAACATGATGGAGGAATGTAGAGTCTAAAAGGGAGGTGGAAATCAAGATAACATACCACTATCTACAAATGTAGTAACATAGGTCAAACAAATGCAACTTCTGACAAAATACACATTCTGTCAAAGTAACATCTTTCTACTTCCTCTCCTCACCACATGTAATTTGGAATGATTGTTATGTAAGCTGCTGCATGCAACAATGTTAAGAATATCAATAATCAAATGTAATTAAAACAATTGAGAATTGACTTAAGATACACAATTTTCATTTAAAAAAAATTAAATTAAAGGAAAAAAAGTGATCTCACTTGGTAAACTACACTTCCATATACAAATTCATCAGACAGGATGACTTAAAATACAGCCTCAGAAACTAACACGCTTAACAAGCAAACTTTAAATATAAATCTCCTCCAAAATACTTAAATTCACTTCCCATGTAAAATATGTGCAGTAAATAAAATCTGTGACAACGTATTTTTTTGGGATTGCTGTTCAAGGATTATTAAGTATGGCTGATACACTGAATTTTAACATCTTCAGTTCCCTGCATCCCCTAGTCCGCATTTTCCATGAGTATACTGCAGTCCATGTTCTTGTACAGGGACAACTGCAGTTATGTGCCTTTGTGTTTTCTGAAGCAAGTGCATATCTAGCATGGCATTATCACAGCTTAGGGTAGATCAATTACAGCAGTAAGAAGGCAGATTGCCACCTTATTTGATACATGGCCAGCAACGGGCACATGGTGCTGGACTGCACTTGGCAGTCTACTTCAACAACATCTGCAATCTGCTCCACCCCATTATTCTGGTGCCTGCTCCAGAGACAAATTGTGGGGGGGAGGAGGAGGAGGAGGAGATCCAGGAATACTACTATATCAGGATAAGAAAAGGCTCAGTTTAAAATTACTTGCCCCAGACTGGTGGGCAAGCAAGCAATTCACACCCCAAGAATGAGTCTGATTTTATCCAAAAATATATAATAGATGAATACCATACAAAGTCATTACACAGGTAAAATTAAGGCAATGCAGAATTTAAAAATTATTTTCATGAAGTGATGAGAGGGATAGTTTTAAAATTAACAGCTCACAATCAGAGGTGCCACCCTGTCTGAAAAGACTGAGACTGCTCTTACCTTGCTTGTGCATAGGGAAAGATGGTAAACAAGACTTAGTCTGGGATGGGGTCAATACCACACTTTAAAATAAAATGTGTTTGTTAATCTCACCAACTATGGAGCTCACAGAAGCACACCATCTATTATTTTTTATTGTTGAACCTTGCTTTGACCTTTCCAAAAACAAGACTTCTTCTGTTACAACAGAAATGGAAATAAATTACCCCATGCAAGCACTATAACCTCTTATCTTAATTCAATGATTTTACACAGTCCAGTGGCTCCATTACTACACTTATGAACCCTTCACAATGCTGCAGAAGTCTTCCTAGTTTTCAATCCTTTTGTTCCTTCTTTTCAGAACACATTTTATAAACACAAACACAAAATTCACAGCAAGGCTGATTTGTTAATTGCATTAAAATGCACAAGGCTATCCAGTGATTTTTTTGTTTTAAAGAACATTTTATTTTGAACCAGTATGAAATTCTGATCAAGGCCTCTCACAAAAAGCAATCAATAGAATCTTCTACCACTTTGGTGTGGACAGAAAACCTTAAAAGGAGCATTCTTGGTTCAGGACACATTTTTAAATCAGAGATACAGAACCATTCCCAGGGGCTATTTTCTGCATCCCATTCTTCACATCAACATACCTGTCTTCCTGAGCCTATTTAAATCTGAGTGACAAATTGCTCAGTAGCCATGTATATTTTAAGATCAAATGATTGGAAAGTATAATCATTCACTGAAAAATGGTATTAAAGAACCTGACTAGAGAATAAAGCTACCATAATATTACTGCTGCATACACATGGACACTTGGAATACCAAACAAAAATAACTGTTTCAAATATTAACATAAATGATTACATTACTGAAATACTTGTAAACTGCCAAAAGTATATTTCTTTTACTATACATGGATAAGCTCCATTCAAACAGAACAAACATGGCTGACGTTCCCTTGATTTATCAGAAATATGTTATGATGAGTTCCGTAATTGCAGGAACAAGGTGAGAAAGCCAGGCCAAAATCCTGATTTATTTTGTAAAGTGAGCCATGATCCTCCTCTCTCCCCCCTTATGTCAAGCATCTGGAGTCTTGCAAAGTCACACATTTGGAAGGAGACTTTATCATTCATTTTAGGGGATTAATTTAAGGCTATGTAAAAGCCTCTTCCAGTTAGGATGAAGGATTTTGCTGTGTGTTTCAATCAAGCATTTAAAAATTCCCTCCTGTAACAGTTAAAGTCCAGGATTATTTTAAAAAAATATATCTTTATATTGGGGAAGAAGTTCTCCAGCCACCACCTAGAAATCCAGAATCGCTACCTCACTTTTCTGCATCTCCTGACCTTGGACAGGGGATGGGCTTGTGAAGGCTCAGGGAGGGAAGCCATTGCTGTGAAATGAACCCAGGGTTATTCCCCGCAATCAGCCTCTCTGTGATCATTTTTTCCCTCTCCAGATTTCCCCCCAAAGCTGGCGGGAGTAATTAGGCTGCAAAGCTTGCTTGGGGGCGTGTAAATCTCCCCTGCTCTTTTTGTGGGGAGGGAGATTTGCTGGCACTGTTATTTATCAGGGTGTTTATTCGCTCCTCAGAGCGGTAAATGAAATTCCTGCTGTTACTGCTGGGAGCTACACAGGGCGGATTCGCCTCGCTCTTTCACATCCACACAAATCGCCTGTTCCTCCATCCCCAAAACCTTCCTCCCGTCCCGACCCCATCAGGAAAGAGTAACAGAAATGCAGCCACTCATTACACTACTGTCGTAACCGCCCTGAGCTCGCCTATACTCAAGCGAGCCCAGAGAGACCGGGGGGCGGGGAGGAAGAGCGTCTCTCTGCAGAGACTATGTTAATAGCGATGACAAGAAGCGAGCCTGAGAGGAGAACGTCAAGGCTCTAAATCCATTTTTGGGAAATCGAACAGTAGCAAGGATCCCTCGGCTGCCGCGAGCGAGCTTAGGCGAGCCCCAGGGAAACGACAGCGTACGCGGGGCGGTGTCGCGGAGCAGGAGAGCTTTCCCGGGTGAGCTTCTGCGCGCACAGAAGGGACACCCACCGCTACCCCACCCATCCTCCGGACGCCCCGAGGCGAGCGTCGAGGAAGATAGGGATAACTCCTGGCTTTACACCTGTCCCTGCAACGCCTCTATGGCCAACGGGGACTGGGAGGGGCGCACCACACCGGTCTCTCTCCGCAGGCTAAGGGCCCCTGGGAGAGCCCAGCTGAGCTCGCCTTCAACTGGCCCACCCCGCCGCCCGCTCGGGCCGTCGTAGACAGTAACACCCCCCCCCCTCCTTCCTTCCTCACCAAGTCTGTGTGGAGGGTCCGGCGAGGCGACCGCAGCCCCCCGCTCTCCGCCCGTCAGACAGACTACCCAGACGCCGCCCCCAGCTCCGGCCTTTATAGAGGCTGGCCCGGATATGACGTCAACACCGCAGCACGGTCTCCAGCCACGGAACTCAGCGAATGGCTCCGGCCGGAACCGAAGGGAGAGGGCCCCACCCCGCGGAGGAGGTGCCCTGTACACGGAAAAAACCGAGTGAAGCCGAAGGCGCCTGCCGCAGTACGGAGAAATCCGAAGGGTTCCGGAAAGAGTCGAAAGGGCGGAAGAGGCCAGCGGGGGCCGGTCCGCGGGGAGCACGCTGCAGGGGCTCGGCCGTAGCGCCGCGGCTTCCCACAAAGCTCCGTTTTTCTGCCCCAGGCCCAGCTCGCTGAAGCAGGGCCCGGGTTTGCTCTTCGCCACGACAAGGGCGCTCTCACCCGAGATTGAGTTTAGGCCCTTCCATTTGAGCGACCCGAGTACATGAACTGGATGTCAACGCCGAGCCTCGTACACCGGCTTCGTTGTGGGACCCACAGGGGTTGTTAGGAAAGATTAAAAACTGAAAATAATGGTAAAAATCGCATCCACTTTTCCATCATGGAAACGGTTTATTTTCATTCTCTTTGTGCTAGTCACTTTCAGGCTGCTGCCCCGGAGCATTCCCTTGACAGAAGTGCAAAAAAAGAGCACAACGTTTACATAAAAACATTTAATTTACCATAAAAAGAAAATATTTAGCAAGGTTTAGATTTCTGTACTACTACTAAAAGCAGGCACCTTTAGTTTGCATTAATATTAAAGATAATGTAGAGGGTTCCTTTCTCAAACCCATCTGCAAGGTAAAAATGACAAAAGATCATGGTTTCAAAAAGATTTGAATGCCTGCACAGGTAAGAGGTTTTTGTTTTTAGATAGTCTATGCACCAGTTTTGTTAACAACTAAAAAGGAAGTCTTTCTTTAAATAGGAACACTAGGATGCTGTAATTATACCCCCTAAACTATGTTGTATGGAGCCCTCATATATATTTAAAGCCCCAGTGAGATAGCAAATAAATAAAATTTCTGGGAACAGAGTTGTGGTTTTGTTCTTTATTAAAAAACCCACAAATATACATTCTCTTTCAGCTCCTGTGCAAGCTGTTAAAGCAATTAAATAGAATAAAAATCATCTTCCACAGACATTGCAACAGAACCTGTAGGACTGCAACAGGACCATTATCTCTAATGAAGTACATGAGTCACATCAATCACATCAATTTAAATTGGATCAGGTCGTTAATGTACAACAATTTTTCATGTCAGATGTTCCCATTTACACTGTATTTGAAATGAATGTGACGCATACATACTGGAAACAAATCCTTTAAGTGCATTTGAGATTATATAAATACATTCTATTCTACGCTGCATTGAGAAGTTCTCTAAATACCCCAGTAAGGCAAGATGGCCATCACTCAAATCGACAGAAATGGAAAAAAACAGTTGCAACAAAAAATGAGACTTCAGTTACATTAGACACCACTAGATACAATTATGAACTACCCCTGGAAAGGTGGTATGTGTTACATTTTGGTTATGCGAATACATTAAGTGGAAGCATTTTAAAAAATAAATTTATTGCTCTATTTAAATATAGTTTCAAAACATCATGGCAATCCATTGCAACAGTCTTTCATGAGTAAGGCAGAGAAACTCAACATCCTTACGGTATTTATAAAAACATACACCTTCATTAATATCCCCTAAATAACTAAAATATACAAAGCTTCCTGCCTTGCATATTGTCATAAAACATGATCCACACACATTTTAGAACTTAAACAAAATCTATAATATTTAACCAAAATATCCAATATGACCACAACAGTAAGCATTAGATATTCAAGATGTAATTAAATACATTTTAGTTTGTTCATTATAGGAATGGTTGCTACACTAAACATAGGCACAGTGAGAAATTTTATGAGGCACTAATAGGACTTGAATACCTAACTGTCCTTTGCGCTTCTGACGATCTCCCCTTGTATCCTTTCAATAGCATTCTAGAACAGCTATCAGTATTACCAACTCTAAGCAGTCAGACTTTAAAAAAAAAAATTAAAAAACATTTTCCTTCTTGTATCGGGGACAGTGTTTTTACATGTGCTTCCCGGGAAAGTTTAACATACAAAATTTAAGCTATAGAGATACATATTATTAAAAACACTGTAGCATAAGCTTTATCAGTAGATGACTTCATCATAGATACTCAAAATCTTGTGATAATATTGCTTAAATAGTGTTTGTGGCAGTGTTTTGTGAAACACTTTGCCTCAATGGTCATTTCTCAAATACATACAATCATGTTCTTGTCCGAGTTTTTACTTATTTTCATTTAATTTCCTCTCTCTCAAAACTTGCTCTTCACTAAAGACTAAAAACATTTTTGGAGGTCTCAGTGACAAAAAAATGCCAATAAAACATGAAAATGCTATTAATTTTGCTAGAACAATCTCTACCTGAACTATTTCTGAATTAAAGGGTCTTCATCAAATATACAAAAGGAGAGGGAGAAAGAGAGGAGAGGTCTAGTTGATTCTAGGATACTACTTCAGCCAGAGCCCAGATCAACAGCAAGCAAGTGGCTACCATCGGATGGCTGTTAAATGGACTACAAAAAAAATGAGTGTCCAGCCCAGTTCCCAGCGATTAGGTATCCAACTCACTTTAGCTGTCAGCTCTCACTACAAGGCTGCCAGACCTCAGCAAAGAGGTCAAAGATTGAATAAGTATGCAAACTGAATTACCCCCTCAATATTAGATGTGACCCCTCCAGGCCGAAGTTAAGCACATGAGCAGGGCAGTGACGGAAGGTGGAGGAAGATTCTGGATTAAAAACTAAAATTCTATACTATGTGCAATGATAGTAGAATCATCTCCACAATGCCCCCTTCCCTCCTCCCACCCCACATTTGTGAATAAGCCACCCTCTGGGTTAGAAATGTAAATTTTAAATTTTCATATTAAATCTCTCTTCCTGCCAAGACTGTCAATTTAGCTATCCAGTTGCAATATGGGCACCTGTCCACTAGAAATGGGAGAAATATTAACATGTAGCACATAACTGCTACCTCTTCAATGGCCTCTCAGGCAGAGTGCACTCCACTGTCAAAAATCACCTCCCAATCTGACCTTCCATAACATATTGGTACAGACACCCATTATGGATTCCCAGAAACTTACTTGGCACCATTGCAGGCACCCAGAGAGAAGTAAACTGCATCAGCTTTAGGTTAAAAAGAGTCTTAAATTTAACATTTTTTTCAAATAAGATTCTAGAATGAACCATTCTTAGAATAATTCAACATTACACTATCATAGTACAAAACTATTACAGTACTTTATACACTAACTGCAGTAAAACTCATACAATCCATGTCTGATCAAGCTATAAAGGCTTTTTTCGACACAGGTCAATACCACAGTTCAGTTCTTCTTTAGACAAGCCAAGGGGACTAACTTCTAATTTCTACATTTCTAATTTCTTCATGTGATAGCACAATATCAGTACTGAAGAAGACACAAAGCTGTTAAGTGCCCTTCCACCTGCTGTTTTTTTGTTGTTTTTTTTGGTCAAACCAATTCTAAACTACATTTCATATGGTGGATCATGGATCCTTCTAGTTTCATGAACCTCACAGTAAAGATATTACACACATGCAAAGCCTTTTAAAAAAAATCCAAAAAACAAATAGCAGTGAGCTGTTCTTCAGCAGCCATCATATTGCTTATGTAGCTGTAAAAATCAAGTCTAACCCTGGTAAATAAGGAATGCTGTGTCATTAGGAAAAATCAGAATTTCTAAGTTAAAATGAAAGAGCTGTTGATTTTAAGGCCTTCCCTGGGGAAAAATGAAGAAATCAATGCTGTCTCCACGACCAAAATGACATTTGACCAACATCAAATCAGCCTCGTTAACACAACCACCACTTTTGCTGCTTTGGACTTTTAGGCAGCCAGATATAAAATGAATTTTCCTATGGGCTCCAATGCTGTTAACAATGAAACAACTTTAAAATGCCTAGACACAGAAAATGCAAAAATAAAGTTTTACAGGATTTTATATTTAGACCTTAATGTGACTAAAGTACTGAGGTATTTCTATTTGCAGTTTCATGTAAAACTATCACAGATTGATCAATTCAGAGCAAAATTCCCACCTGAAAGTCATTGCTTACTGTAAGTAAACTCTAAAGTGTAGTGGGGCATTTAGACTAGTTTATGCACTTGACACATTCACTGTTCAAGATGTGAAGGAGCCTCTTATATTCCATAATACACACACAATAGGTCCGTAAAGCTAATGAAATGCAAACAGAATGGCTTAAATTATTTGCAAAATAAGTTAGATGAGAAAAGTTACTGAAGCTCCAAATTCTGTTTAGCATAAAATAGGATCAAAGATGGGTAAAATGTTTCAGTTGAAAATATCCACAACATCCATGGAAATACAAATGTAAGATTTACATTTCTATGTATTCTTGTCCCTGAATGTAACAAGAAGGTAGGTGAGGAAATTCTTTGAACTACTGTGAAGATGAAAATGGGAAGGAACCGACTTATGACCTCCAGAAGGAAGAAGGCAGATAACCCTTTGGTAAAGGAATTTCCTTCCGCTGCAAACATTTCTAGGAAAACAAAACAAAACAAAAACAGTCAATTTAGAACCAATGCAAGCAATTCCAAACCTCCAAAAGAGATTGGCTACATTATGGAAATATCTGCACCCAATAGGACTCAAGTTATGTAAGAAACTCTTCCACTGAAAAAGCCTGCTATAAAAGCAAGAAAAAGGTCCATCTAGCCCAGTATCCTGTCTTCTGACAGTGGCCAATGCCAGGTGCCCCAGAGGGACCAAACAGGTAATCATCAAGTGATCCATTCCCTGTCCCTCATCCCCAGCTTCTGGCAAACAGAGGCTAGGGACACCATCCCTGCCCACCCTAGCTAATAGCCATTGATGGACCTATCCTCCATGAATTTATCTAGTTTTTTTTTTAACCCTGTTACAGTCTTGGCCTTCACAACATCCTCTGGCAAAGAGTTCCACAGGTTGACTGTGCGGTGTGTGAAGAAATACTTCCTTTTGTTTGTTTTAAGCCTGCTGCCTATTAATTTCATTTGGTGATCCCAAGTTCTTGTGTTATGAGAAGGAGTAAACAACACTCCCCTATTTACTTTCTCCATATCAGACATGATTTTATAGACCTCTATCATATCCCCCCTTAGTCATCTCTTTTCCAAACTGAAAAGTCCCAGTCTTAATCTCTCCTCGTACAGAAGCCATTCCATACCCCTAATCATTTTTGTTGCCCTTTTCTGAACCTTTTTCCAATTTCAATATATCTATTTTGAGAAGGGGCGACCACATCTGCACACACTATTCAAGATGTGGGTGTACATTGGATTTATAGAGAGGCAATATGATATCTTCTGCCTTATTATCTATCCCTTTCTTAATGATTCCCAACATTCTGCTTGCTTTTTTGACTGCCACTGCACATTGAGTGGATGTTTTCAGAGAACTATCCACAATGACTCCAAGATCTTTCTTGAGTGGTAACCATTAATTTAGACCCCATCATTTTATATGTATAGTTGGGATTGTTTTCCAATGCGCCTTACTTTGCATTTCTCAACATTGAATTTCATCTGCCATTTTGTTGCCCAGTCACCCAGTTTTGAGAGATCCTTTTGTAGCTCTTCCCAGTTTGCCTGGTCTTAACTATCTTGAGTAGTTTTGTATCATCTGCAAATTTTGCCACCTCACTGTTTACCCCTTTTTCCAGATAATTTATGAATACATTGAATAGGACTGGTCCCAGTACAGACTCCTGGGGGACACCATTATTTACCTCTCTCCATTCTGAAAACTGACCACTTATTCCTACCCTTTGTTTCCTATCTTTTAACCAGTTACCAATCCATGAGAGGACCTTTCCTCTTATCCCATGACAGCTTACTTTGCTTAAGAGCCTTTGGTGAGGGACCTTGTCAAAGGCTTTCTGAAAATCTAAGTACACTTTATCCACTGGATCCCCTTGTCTACATGCTTGTTGATCTCCTCAAAGAATTCTAGTAGATTGGTGAGGCATGATTTCCCTTTACTAAAACCATGTTGACTTTTCCTCAACAAATTATGTTCATCTATATGTCTGACAATATTGTTCTTTATTATAGTTTCAACCAGTTTGCTCGGTACCGAAGTCAGGCTTACAGGCCTGTAATTGCCAGGATTACCTCTGGAGCCCTTTTTAAAAACTGGCATCACATAGCTATCCTCTAGTCATCTGGTACAGAAGCAGATTTAAATGCTAGGTTACAGACTACAGTTAGTAGTTCTGCAATTTCACATTTGAGTTCCTTTAGAACTCTTGGGTGAATACCATCTGGTCCCGGTGACTTATTACAGTTTAGTTTATCAATTTGTTCCAAAACCTCCTCTAATGACACCTGGGACAGTTCCTCAGATTTGTCACCTAAAAAGAATGGCTTGGTTTGGGAATCTCCTTCACATCCTCAGCTGTGAAGACCGATATAAAGAATTCATTTCGTTTCTCTGCAATGGCCTTTTTGTCCTTGGGTGCTCCTTTGTTTTTAAGTAAGAAAATCACAAACTCCTGTGTCTCCTAGCTTCATATTTATTAAAACTAATCAATATTTGCAAGACACTTTCAAAATAAAGTGTATTTTACACCTTTGCAAAATATTTCTTCAAAAGGATACCTATGATGGGGGACAGAGGGGCAGTTGAGAAGGGAGAGGTTTCGGAGTCATAATCATCAAGAAGACTGAACAGACTCAGTAACAAAGAAGCCATATAAGAATGGAGAATGCATCAAAAAGTCATAATCATGGACCTTTTGGGAATCAGAAGGTAGCATGGGATTTGCTGACTGAACAATACATCTTCAAGAAAAGGGAAAAAATAGAGACTTTCAAGAATTTAAAGAGAATGCTTTACCTCCAAAAATTGCTTAAGCCGCATTAAAGAGCCCATCTGCCCAGAGATGGTGATTGCTTCAATCCTGCAGGGAGATCAACAAGAGTGAGCTCCAAAACACAAACAGAAAAACAGCCTTGTGTTATTTACATGGGGGAGAGCTTGAGAACACTAATGAACATAGAGCTAAGAGGAAATGCTCCTAATTCTGAAAAAAAACTGACAGAAGTTTCTTTGTATAAGGTTTATATATATAGGTGTCATACCTATGAAAATAGTCTTCTCTGATAAGTAGCAGCATCTTCCAGAACTGGACCTGGTAGTGTTTCATGAGCGCATTGCCACACACCTGGCACACAAAACCATAAAGGTAACAGAGATCAGAATTCAGAACTGGGCCTTGTAATTGAGAGAGAACTCTTACAAATTTGTACAATACAAATGCCTCAAGAACTCAGGCAGTATAGTTTGAACTCTGCTGGCCATCTGCATCTTGAATCACACTCCAGAAATTCATCTGGATTGCCACAGAACAAGAGAAGACTCCAAATCCATTAGAACCCAGAAAAGAAACATCTGGATTTCTACAAAGTCAGGGAATGAAGCGCCCATCACTAGTGACAATTTCTGCAAGCATTTACCCCAATTTCTGCAACCATTTGCCCCAATTTGCAGAGTTCTGGTTTTCTATTATATTTGATCATATTCCTGTATTTTAATGCCATATATTCCAAGTTAAAGAAGCTCAGCACGTTCTCTTTCCCACCCCAACATCATCATCAACACCACCTTGTTTCCTCATCATTCACCCATGCACAGTCCATGGCGCCACCTTTGAGATCTCCTTCCTGTTCAACAATATCTCCCCAAAATAATTCTCTTCCTTAACCATTTTGCCAGTCTATTCTCTGGTCATGTCCCCCTTTGACTATTATAGCAGTTTCTTTTCAACTCTCCCCATGGAGCCCATTCAAAATGGATCTATCAAAACCACCCTTTTTTTTCCCCACTCTGACAATACCTCCCTGCTGTCACTGTCTTGCATCTCTCTGGTAGCTACCACCTACTTCTGCATAAAGTTCTCTGCTCCACTTTCAAGGCTCTACAGACTTCTGCCCTTATCTATACCTGTCATTTTCTACAGAACTCCTCCTCTTGCTGTCTATGTTCCATCCATGCTTCTTTACTAGCCTCCACTTGGTCTTCATCCATTACCAGCTTGGTGCCTTATTTACGTACCTTTGTATCTTAGGATCAGTCTCCCAATTAATGCACACCAAGCTCTCTCCCTTTCTTGCTGTAAAAGCCCACCTGTTCTGTGAAGCAATCTAGTTAGGATGGCCATATGGCATAAAACGTTCTGCACTGTATTGTACCAGCCAGTGCCAGTACTAGTGAGTTTGGGCTTGCCAAGTATATGAAGAATAAAAATAAGGAATTAAAAATATTGATGAGCTTAATGTGAACTGCCTCAGCTGCTGAGGGACCAAGTGTAATAAAAAGCCAAACACTGCACTGTGGGAGTCCAGCTTTTTAAACAGATAAAACTGAAATCATATCACTGAGGGAATTAAAGGACTCTTTAGAGCAAGGGTCTCTGAAAATATACATAAGCCTCCTTTCAAAAGCGTGGGGAGGGGTAGAGGAGGGGTGAAACTCAGGCCATTTATAAAAAAACTGTCATGGCTACAGCCAGCAGCATCTGAACGTATTATATAGTAATGTCACCACTGCGTCTTATGGCACCTCACTGATGGGAGGACCTAGGGCCAGACTTTTAGACTAGTTCCTCATCCAACTTATTTATTTTGCTAGTGAGGCTCATGCCAGGTAACATCACTTACCTCTAAGAAATCAAAGAGAAGTGTAGCTGTCACATCAGAGAGAGGCTCCATGTTCAACATTTGAGCCAGCCAGCGCCATCCATGGCCCAGCCCATGAGGGTGAGTCTAAAGGAACAAGAAAGCAACTCATTGTATGTTTGATAATCTTGCAAAATATTGCCACCAAAAACATTACCAGATTTTTCTCCAGTTCCACTTGCTCTCCAAGGGACAGTTATTTTGGGACAATACTTTGTGCATTTTCAGAATATTTTCTGATAGAGACTCTTATAAACATGCAGACAAACCCTTACTTTGTATTTTTAAAGGAATTTTTAAGAACAATTTCAAAACATACTATTTAAAACATAATTCGTCAAAAGCTGGAACTGTTTTAAATTAGTCAATTAAAAAAATTCAAGTTGACAGTCCCTTTAAACACAGTTTGTCTCTATTCACAATGACTAGTTTAAACTTAAGTCTGGATCAGTTTTAAACCACATTTTAAATCAGTTTAGTCAATGCTGTTCCTATCCCAAGAATTAGTGTTGTAATATAACATTTTTAAAGCACCATTTACATACCACTTGTTTGTTTCCATAAGGCCACCGTAGTTGAATGATAGCCGCATAAAGACGGATCATTCCAGACATCCGTTTAAGGAAATTATCCTGCTGTTCTACCTTGGAATCCTTAACTTGATAACCAAGTATCCTGTATATTGGAAGAAAGACACTCTAATATTAATATACCAAACCAGGTTCACTGGTTTCCCAAAGTGACCCCAATTCTCAGCCTTCTTTAACAACTCTCAAATTTAACATCAGAATATGCTAGAGCTGTGCAAGAATTCACATGAAGGCTACTTATTAAACACTGAGCTCAGTAGTCCAGTGTCTTAAACATACTGAATATTATGGACAACACTTTTTAAAAGGCCACGATTAGGGAAAACATCGATAAACATATATCCCTTCACCAGCAAAAAATAAATAAAAAGTTGGATAAGCAACTACGCTAAAAGTCTGGCCCTAGGTCCGCTCATCAGTAAGGTGCTACAAGATACACTGGTGACACCTGAAAGTTTGAACAGCATGAAGGGGCAAACGAATGTTTAGCTGGCACATAAATACCTTGCAAGGCCGGTTACAACAGTGCCATGTGAATGCTTATCATCACTTTCAGACACACTATAAGTGAGAAGCAGTCAGCATTATCTCCTGTAAATGTAAACCAACTTGTTGGTCTTAGCAATTGGCTGAACAAGAAGTAGGACTGAGTGGACTTGTACACTCTGAAGTTTTACATTGTTTTGTTTTTGAGTGCAGTTATATAACAAAAAAAAAATCTACATTTGTAAATTGCACTTTCACAACAAAGAAATTGCTCTACAGTATTTGTATGAGGTAAACTGAAAAATACTATTTCTTTTGTTTATGTTTACAGTGCAAATATTTAAAATAAAAAATATGCACTTGATTTCATTTACAACACAGAATACAATATATATGAAAATGTAGAAAAACATTCACAATATTTAATAAATTTCAATTGGTATTCTATTGTTTAACAGAATGATTAAAACTGTGATTAATTGTGATTAATTTTTTGAGTTAAACACGTGAGTTAACTGCAATTAATCAAAAGCCCTAAAAAATACTCTCTCTTTTTTACAGTGCAAATACTTGTAATAAAAAATATAAAGTGATCACTATATGCTTTATATTCTGTGTTGAAATTGAAATCAATGTTTAAAAATATAGAAAACATCCAAAAATATTTAAATAAATGGTATTCTATTAACAGTGCGATTAAGATTGTGATTAATAGTGATTTTTTTAATCGTGTGATTAATCAGGATTATTTTTTTAAATTGTTTGACAGCCCTAGTTGAAACACTATTTTTGGGGGGGTGGAGGTATTTTAGCGGCCATAGCATCCACTTAACAGCAGACAAACCAGTGACACTGCTTCTAGACATGCTTGGCCTGATCTCAGATTTCCAAGTAATGGCAAACATCAGTGTAAAGCAATAAGGTTCTATTCTGTACTGGATACTTCAAAACTAGATCAGTAAATTATCCTTTGAGGAAGTGGAGGGGCAAATGAGGGTTAATGTAAGAAAACATGTATTTCTTCAATTTCCCTACCAGCTGCTACTCTCAGCCCTTACAGAGCTCCAAAGAAGAGAAGTTATATGGAGAAGTTACCTCTGATACTCTTCTATGGGAGTCCCCTCCTTGAACGCAGGATAAAATGGTACAGAGTAGGGGCATTTTTTGTGCAGGTGAGCTAAAATGAGGTCTCCCACCCTGGGGTGTAATTCCCAGATTCCTGAAGCCACCACAGCAATTGGGAAAGCTGCCTCGTGGTGAGAAGCCACTTCCTCCTCTCCTTGTTTCTGAAAACATTAAAGATACACACACACCCCTTTCAAGTTAATGCTCAGCAAAGACAACATTTTAATTTATTTTTTAGTTTACATATATCCTTTACTGAAGGCTCCTAATGCTTCTATATATTCTATGAGCACGCAGCTACCCAATATGGGAGGACAATACAATCTACATGTCCTTGCCAGAGGCCCATAAACCCTTCTTCTCAGGATAAAGAAAATGAGTAAGTGATTAGAGGCACTATTTACAAAAGCCTGTAGTTAAGGTTACACAAGTATTTTCATTCTAAAAGGACCATTTTCATATGCTTATAATTTAACCAAGTTTTACCTTTTGAGCTAGAATTCTGCACATTTGTGGTCAGCACAAAAGCAAGGGTTATTGATTGATTTAAATCTTCAGCAAATGCAGCTAAAGCCATTTGAGAATGGAGAGTAGAAAAAAAACAACACTCCCTATATAAAAAAAAAAGGGGCAGCATAATTTGAACAGCTATAGCCCCTCAAAGGGAAGTGTTGGAAACTTGGCAGGGACATAGTCCCTAGATTGCGGATGTGTGTTTCAGTGGCCCAGTGAATTCTTGTTTCAAATTTTGCCAAGTTACAAGGTTTTCAATAGTGTATTTTGAGCATGTGCACAGGTTTGTGCTACATGATATGCTAAATATCACCCTACATTCCACTGGTACTGCACATGCCTCTGGTTTTTTTGTTTTGTTTTGTTTTTTAAAAGTGTGTAGGGAGTAAGTTGAGGAGTCAACGGGGCCTTGCCTCCTTCCATAAGACATGAGCAGGTGCATAAAGAAAAAAGCAAAGCTCCTCTTTTTCCTGGGCCAAAAAATATAACCCCATTTTTTCTAATAGCGTGAGCATAGCCTGGCAGGTGATAAGTTCCGAAGACTTTTGTTTTCAATAGTTAAAGAGACAGGTCAGCATCCCAGAGAATCTCCAGAAGCTATGGCTACCCTCACCACCCCAATAAGACAAGGTGTCCTCACCACAAATTTCTCCGCCAGTTTGTAATAAACAAAATCCAGACCCTGTGGATGTTGAGTCACCGACACAGTTCGCCCTCCAGACTGAACAGACTTTCCAGAGAGAAGGTTATTGATTTTGTCAAATATCTCTCTTAGCTGAGAGCCTGTGAATATATCATCAATAGTGCACGGAGAGTCAGAATATTAGGAAGTTGCCAACAAGCAAGCCTCAACCAAACCACATCAGCCTCAGTAAAGCTAGCACCAGATTCTGAAGGGAGGGGGTAAGAGCCCTGTTAAATATTTCTAAGAGCTTGGCTACACTTGCAAGTTAGAGCGCATTAAAGCAGCCCTGGGCGCCCTAGCTCACTACCCATCCACACTAGCAAGGCACGTAGAGCGCTCTGACTCCACAGCTGGAGCGCTCCTGGTGCTCCACCTCAGCGAGAAGATGAACGCTTGCTGCGTCTTCGCTGAAATGCCTGGGCGTCAGCGTGAATGCGGTGTTGCATTACTGCGCTCTGATCAGCCTCCAGAAACGTCCCATAATCCCCTTAAGTCAAGTGGCCACTCTTGTCATTGTTTTTGAATCGCTGCAGGAATGCAGATATGCCCTTTGAAAGCTCCGTTTCTGACAGCCGGCTGCTTATCTGCTCCAAGACAAAGTAACCATCAGTGTGGAATGCTGTGTGAGATATCTGAACTTACAAGACAGCATGCTGACATGCTCTCAGCCCCCAAAAACCCACTCTCTCTCTCCCCCCACATACACACAACACACTCCCTGTTACACTCTACACCTGCCCCCCTGCATTTGAAAAGCCCCTTGCAGTCACTTGCATGCTGGGATAGCTGCCCATAATGCACCGCTCCCAATGCCGCTGCAAGTGCTGCAAATGTGGCCACGCCAGTGTGCTTGAAGCTGTCAGTGTGGACAGACTGCAGCGCTTTCCCTACTGCGCTCTCCGAAGGCTGGTTTCAAAACGCTCTACATCTGCAAGTGTAGCTATGCCCTAAATCTGCTCACTAGAACTGAAATGTGCTAAAAATCAATAAGATCCCTCCCAGCTGAGGAAAATACCCTCCCAACTGCAACTTCAAATAACAAAGATCGGGACTCCATCCACATTAGCTCTCCAATGTAATAGCAATGCAGAGATACAGGGCAGGCTTGATGTTCCCCTCAGATATTTAAAGGTTAACAGCATCTCAGCTGGGATTGTTCTCAGCATTTTCCTGACCTGCTATGGATGAAATCTGGCTCACAGGAATGCTGGCTGCTTTCTGGAGATCCATTCTGATATTCTTCACCTGTTGAAGATTGTAAAAAGCTGTTAAAATCACTTCAGACAAGAGACCTGATCAAGCCCAAAGAGGCATATCACCACAGGGAAGACACTTCTCATGAGTGGCCCAATTCTACAAGGATGCAGTCAGCACTAACTCCAACTGATTTTAATAGGAGTTAAAAGCACTCTCACACAAAGGAGGCATTCAGGTCCTTGCAGGATTGGGCTGAAAACGCTGATCAAGTTCGAGCACAGGAACATACAACACAAGATGAACGGTACATTGAACAGCTTCAGACTAATAAATGAAGAATTCATTTTGAGACAGCAATGTGCCAGCCTCCTTGAAGATAAAAGGAAGATCTGTAATTGGGACTTGATGACACTTCATTCTGCCACAGTCATTGCTGTGCGCATCTTGAAAAGCCTGAGCATGAAATATCTGATTTTCCAAGATACATACAAGTGTGTGTATGTGATGCATTGGGAGGGCAGGAACAAGTCTATAGTATCTAGGTTTCGTTCTGCTACAGTATTTTTTAATTGGAAATTGAGCAGGTGCTCAGCCCTTAAGACAGCCAGAAACTTTTCCTGCAGTATTTAAAAAAACAAAACAAACAAACAAAAAAACCAGTACTATAACTGAGAAGTGTTAATAAAAAATAAATTCCCGTGAAAGCACAGTAGCTGCTGCTTAACATTTTACTGTCTCAAGGTTTCAACTTCATTGAAACCTAAAAGCTTCATTGAATCAATGTGATTTGTCAATACTCCTCCCACACCTGACATTACTATAATCCATTTGAGAATATCGCTTGCTGTGGAAATTTACAATTTACATATGTGATGTGAGAGGCACAAGTTGAATTAAAAAAAAAAAAAAAAACCAACCATTTTCTCACCAGGAATGAGAGAAGAGATGCAGAAACAGGATTGTTTAAAGGAATGTTTTTCAAAGTCTTTTGTGGCATTAGCTACTGTTTAAGGACTTCCTGGCAGCCCCAACTCCAAGTTATTCACTTTTTTGGGTTTAAGCCAGATCACAATATACACAGGACAAAAATCTGCTCTACGGCAGACTTTCAAAATTTTTTACGCACCCTCTTAAAGAAAGGGATTTTTTTGACAGGTGAATAAAGCATTTATTCATCATAATCTTGGAAAAAGGTGGATGAGTAGGTTTTGCAGGTGGGCTTCTAAGTTTTCAGGGCCATTCTGAAGGCTGCTTTACATCCCACTCAACATAAGTATTAGACAATAAACAAGTAGAAAGACAGGGGAGGGAGGGAGAGAGTTTTCCTAACAATATTTATAATTTGGATTCGTAGAGTAGCCATACCTGATTGTCTTTGCAGTCAGTCAATCCACTAAAGGAAGCAACACACTGGTCAGAGGCATCCTGCAATTGCTGATACCACTGCATTGTGCTCTCCTCTGCCTTAACCTGAAGTCCTAATACTAGACAAGAAAAGCAGTCACATGAAAATACACTATTACCACAACGAAGACATCAGAAATCCTAATGTTCCACAAAAATTATCAAGACTCAGAAGTTCTGAGCAGCTGCTGTTCTTCCCCAACCAAATTTAGAAAATCAATTATACCTGACTAAGGCTTTGCAAATTGTACAAAAGTCCACCCTTTGAAGACTGATCACTCCTGTGCCTGGATTTTTTGAACTTCAGTTACAGACAAACAGTAAGCCATTCTAGATGCACGTGGTAGCAGGGGTGAGGAATTAGAAATGGCTCCCTTTAATAATCCATGCATGTAACCTAACACACATCATCCCACCAGGTTCTCCCCTACTCTATTAACGGTCTGTGTCCCTCCTGTCCCAGCATGATGTGTATTGTCCAAGAATGACTGTTTTTGCTTCAATTAACATAACCAGTTTATGAAACATCAATTTCAGTGTCAATGAAGCTTTCTGCCAGCAATCCCATACCCACATTAGTTCTGTTTGTCCTGAAGCCTACCCACGGTGATGCTCCGGCAGCCTGTGCATTTCTGAACCAGTGTTTAGCGTGGCAGTCCAATGGAGCTCAGTAAAGTAAGGTAGGTCTCACTGGAGCTGGACCTACCTTCCTTCTGCTCTTTCCCCCGTGGATGTTGTGCAGGGACTGGAGTCTGGGCCTTCAGCTGCTCTTGTTTCTGTAACTCCTTCTGCCTCTCTCTTTCCTCGTCTTCATCCCGCTTCCTTTTCTCTTCCAAAGCTGTGGCAATTTCTTGTTGCATGCTAGATATTAACCCTCGCATTTCCTGCAGTGCTCGCTCAGTGTTGGCTACATCTACCTGAGTAGGGAAACCTCTCTACCAGGAAACAAGGAAAAGGCAAATTAAAGTTCCCCCTACCAAAAGGCCAATTGAGGGCAGGCTGCCCCCAGAACAGCACCTAGATACTTTGTGTAGAAGCTGTGAACCTAATGCACATGCTGTCTACTATCCTCAATGTGCAATGGCAGCACCATTCTACTGGAAAGCCCAGACTGCCTCCTCCAGAACCAGTAATTAATTCACACCACCAGTCAAGAGAAGCAAATTCGTGGCCTTTAGTCATTTCCTGGTACACAACAGACAAGGCAGAATTTCTGCCTCCTATGCCTGTGTAAACCAATTACTGAAGACTTCTACTTACTCTTTTACAGTCAAGCTCTAGATACAGAAAGGGATCCACTGCAATGTAGCAAAATAAAATAAAAAAAATAAAATACCATCTTACTTATTATAACTACGGAAAAATAACCACCTTTGCAAACCCGACAGACACAGAGACTAGTGATGGGGCCAGACAAGACTCTCAATACATTAGTTCCATTAACAGGGTTGGGTAAAACAAAAAGGGATCATGCTAGAGAAGCAAGTCCATGTAGCCTGAATATCCATTTCCCTTTAACTCCACTGGGAAGAGGGTTATTTTAAATGCCAGCTAAAGCTGAAGTTACAAGACATTTATGATAGACTGGAACTGAGAACTAACCCAGCCCATGCCAAATTTTAGAAGTGTGTCATTGGTTCACTCTGTCTCCCACCTTTCATATAGAGAAGAGTAGTTTTGTGAGAAAGCCTAGATGCTATAGGAAAGCTTGTGAATGCTAGAACCTACTGAACACTGTGCATCATTGAATCTCAAACAATTGTTTGACCAGCCACTCCAGTTCTAGCATGGTCTCAGAAAAGAGAGATATCTAACGTTAACATTTTACAGTATATTTAACATCAAGTGTCTCTTCTCCAGTAAAAATCCCCATAAGTTATATAAGACTTTTTCAAGGAAGCATTTAAAGTGCATTGAGAAAAAGATTCTCTTTCTTTCAAGATTAACCAGTGCACAAGAACTGCATCTACAAGCTCTTCTGTGGCAACATAAGATCTCAAAGCACCTCTCAACTAGCTGACTTAGTGTCTCCCTTCAAGGAATAAGAAGCTAACTTAAAAGAAAAGGAAATCTAGAACCTCATTACCTCACTAGTGGTGCGAATGAGCCCAGACACTAGCCCACAGATCTGGTTGCCACGGTTACTGAACCCTGAGAGATCTATCCGTGGCAAGTCTTTATGTCTGTAGTTGGGGTCAATCTGCTGGTTAAGCTGCAGCACCTCTTCCTGGATAGAATAGAGGCGGCGTAGCCTTTCCTGGCCTTCTTCCTTGCGCAGACGCTCCAACTCCTCCTGACGCTGCCTCTCCTGTTCTGCTTCACGAAGTTTCAGGTTTAAAATCTGGAGAGGAGGAGGGAGTGACAGTGTAAAGATAAGCTACATAAATAAAGCTTTTCTCACAACACTACCTATACAGTCCCTGCATGCTACCCACAAGCAAGGATGCTCAGGAAAATCTGATTAAAAACTATGTTCCAGTCACTCCTCTTGCTGGCCCTGGTTTAAATCCCCACTGCAAAAATTCTACAAAGCTTTAACAGCATGAGCCACACTACAGCATACTGGTGCTGTTACCACAGGACTCAACGTTCTGGAGGCAGCAACAGTCTCAGGGCGAGTTTGAAGAATTTAGTCCAAATATACTCCCCGTCTAGAGAGAAAGATTTTAGCAACATCCAAAGGAAGGACAAATCCTGCCTGTTCATAATATACATTGACTGCTGCCGAGCAATGCAGGTTGGGACACGGCAGTTCCAACTGGTATCTCAGACTGTTTGGCCAACAAAGGGACCAGCAGCACACACAAAAAGCAAAAGCATATTCAAGTTCCTGATCATCACCCTGGAGTTTCACAAATCAAACTGCAGGTAAAGTTATCGGTACTGCAGCTGGGTAGGAAATGGTTTTCCTGTCCTGAAGGGAGGGGGAAAAAAAGATTTAAAAAGTTTTTCCCTTTCCACATCAGGATGAAACAGAGACCTTCCAAATATTTTTGTAGAAAATCGGAGAGACCCACCCCAGAATAGCCAATAGCTCAGTGGTTAGGTCTCCCACATCCCAAGAGAGTTCCCTAACTACCAGGCTCTTTGCTATTGCGGAGTGGGTCTGTCTCAACCTCTCCTGTTGGAGCTGTTCCACTTCGTATAAAATATTCATTGGGGGTGGGGGGAGAGAGAGAGAGACAGACAGACACTGGCTGAGACACTCTATAACCTGGTGGTTAGATCGCTGACCTGCAATGTGGGGGAGACAGGGACTTGAATCTGTGAACCCCTAACCACCGGGCTAGCAAGTCAGACAGCTTTCCCTATGCCTCTCTCCAATCTCAGCCTCAAAAGTCTTCCTGATGAAAGTTTCACTGAACTTTCCTGAGAAAAGTCTCAGTTCTGACAAATCAGCATTTTCCAACAAAAAATGTTTTACTGAAAAATTCCCCACCAGCTCTGTGGCTGTTTTGGAGCATTGGTCTGAAATCAAGAAGATTAATCTGAGTAAGGACAAGTGTAAAGTATTTCCCTTAGGAAGGAAAAATCAAATGCACAACTACAAATTGGGTAATAATTAGCTAGGCAGTAGTACTGCAGAAGAGCATCTGGAAGTTACAGTGGATCACAAATTGAATATGAGTTAACAATGTGATGCAGTTGTGAAAAAGGCTAATATAATTCTGGGGTGTATTAACAGAAGCCTCATATGTAAGACACAAGAGGTAACTGTCCTGCTGTACACTGGTGAGGTGTCAGCTGGAGTGCTGTGTCCAGTTCTGAGCACCGCACTTTAAGGAATACATGGACAAACTGAAGAGAGTCCAAAGGAGAGCAACAAAAATGCAAAAAGGTTTACAAAATCTGACCTGTGAGGAAAGGTTAAAGAAACCTGGTCATATTTAGTCCTGAGAAAAGAAGGCCGAGAGGAGACCTGATAAGTCTTCAAATATATTAAGGACTGTTATAAAGAGGATGGTGATCAATAGTTCTTCATCTCCACTGAAGGTAGGACAAGTAGTAATGGGGTTAATCTCTAGCAAGGAAGATGTAGATTATATATTAAGAAATTGTTTCTAAGTACAAGGATAGTTTAAGTACTGGAATAGGCTTCAAAGGGAGGTTGTAGAATCCTCATCATTGGAGGTTTTTAAGAACAGGTTGGATAAGCACCTGTCAGGGAATTGTCTTAGGTATACTTGGTCTTTCCTCATTGCAAGATGATTTATCAAGGTCCCTTCTAGCCCTACATTTCTATGATTTTACAACAAGAACACATACTGCTTAATATTATTTATTTTACTTTAAATGGTTTTAATGGATTATAGTAAATTTAAGACATAAAATAGGAGTAATTTCAATTTTAAATCTATTGATTTTTAAAAAGAGAAATGTATTTAATTTAAATATAATCCATTTTAAAAATAATCTGATCAGTACACACAAGAATAGTACACGTCTCTGTTTATACATTGAACTAAAAGGTTTACTACCACAGAACAAAAGTGAAGGGTGGACAACATCCTGACAAGTTGGGTTACAATGCCTCAATGGCTATGGACATTGTCCTGAATAGTTATATATTAAGGGCTAAAGCCCTGGTCCATCTGAGGTCAGTAGCAAACTACCTTTCATTTTAACTATGATTCAGCAACAAGTGAAATGTAACTGCTTCTATTCCTGCAATGTAGCAGAATGTCCTAAATGATGAACATTTCACTGGAATATCTGCATTCTCATGGGGATGTAGCAAGTATGTGGGGCAGCACTGCAATGTACATTTTCACTCTACATATGTGTTATGCTATGCATCACTAAAGCAGTTAAATCTGTGCAAGTCCTAGCTTCCAAACACAGGCTAACCACCCTTTCTTGTAATAGCACTACCCTTTCTAAGTTCAGACCTTTGCTCTGTGTCGATGTTCCTCTTTCAACTTCTCCTGCTGACCCTGGGCCTCCCTAGAGCTGAAATACAAGCAGAAGAAAATGAGGGATTGTTCTGTTCTTCAAAGGACTTCGAAGGATTCCCCACCCTCTTCCCCCAAGACATGCTCCGGATGAAGTACAGTCTATGGACACACCAGAGAAGCTATTTTTAAATTGGTTTAAAGGAGAACTCCATCAGATGCAATCTCTCTTCATCCACTTACTGAAAGCTGGAATCACCTGAAAAACACCCTGAAAGATAAATACCAGTAGGACAGTAAATGCAAAGATGCTGCATATGAGATTTTCAAGCATAAATCACAGAAGTGTTAACCCCAGAGTCCTGACAAAATTCCAAAAGGTGAATTACACTCTCCATTCTTGATCAATTAATACAACAGCCTTCACTTCCTGTCCTGAACTACTGCTGTGTACTGTTAAATAAATGTCTTTTAACACCTCCAAGTTCCTATTTAGTTTACATAGGGTCCCGTGGAAAAAAATAGTATGTGAATCTGTAATTAAAGACTATCACAACACATTTCCACAAGAAGCCCAAATTAAGGATTTTTGAACTTTTGAGTGCTTTACTTTGCAACCTTAATCATGTGTGTGTGAGTGAGAGAGAGAGAAATTTCCTAGGTTTTAAAAAACAGCAAACTGAAAAAACAAATGTCATCACATGTAGATCATCAGCAGGGCTGGAACCTTCAGATCCACTGCAGTGACCTCTTCCACTTGATCTTACAGAGTAACTGATAGTGAATAACTATCTACTATTGCTATGTGAACCAGCACTGGAGTGAGATGAGACATTTTGCCAGCATATTTCATAGATATTTGGTGATGGCAGAGAAACAGTGAGATTCAGGAATCTTGAGTTCCATTCAGGGTGGATTGAAATCTTCAGCACAAGGCAGACCCCTGGTATGGAAAACTTCAGGCTAAACAGCTAAAGCTTTGCAAAGTTAAAGCAACTGAAAACAGGATCTTAGAATGGGAAGTGTTGGGCAGCCTTAATAATAGGTAGTGCTACCAGCTCAGCCTCCAATAGAGAATACTTGTATCAACAGATAGTGAGTCAACTTTATACTTTAATACCCATGTGTAAGGCAGCAAGTGACTTCCATGTACTTAAATTCTAAACCATAACGTTACATTAAATTTTCTTTACTTGTAAAACCCATGTGCATGTTTGTTTGAGCATATGATCACGAAGGATAGTTTCTTGATGTATGATATTCAACAAGACATATAAAAACATCTATTAGGTACCAATTCATTCACAAATCTCAACAGAAAGTAGCTTTTTTTTTTTTTAATAGGTTTACAGATCTAAGAATCAAAACTCTATTTAGTCAGTCTCCAACAACACCAGTTAGTTGCTGCATTTCTAAGAGGTCACATAAGAGAACTACCCTTACCTCTTCTCCATCACTTCCTGCAGGTCCTGGTATTCCTGATGCTGTTTTAATTCCTTCAGCTCATCAAAGCGCTTCAGCTGCTCACTCGCCATATCAGAAACCGCTCTCACCATCTGTTCTTGCTGCTCCTGCCTCTGCCTGAGCCCCTCCTGCGGATTTCAAGGAGAAAGGAAGAGCCTTTCACATACACTATGCATTTTGAACACAGCCCTGTGACTTCTAATGAAGGGAGTAGGCTCTGGAGGGCCAGATTTCACATAAACATCCCCACCAGAGACTTTGTCAGAGATAGGAACTGTGCTACAGTAATCACTGGGATCTGCATACAAGGTAATGCAAGCAAAGCAGCACAAACTAGGCCAAGATAACCATATTTTAATTTAGGTGTTATCTGCTTATCCCCATTAGTTTTGGTGGAACATCATCACATTTGGCTACATAGTACCCCAGTGATTCAGCATGCCTTGTTACCTTTCCTTTCAACCTATGGACCTCCTTGTACATCCATATGCAGCCTTCCACCTCTGTAACTTTAGATGGTAGAACAAGAAGATTGTCTTTGTGGTCTGTCTCCAGCAGACTAAGATCTTCATTGCCCTGTATGGACAGCAGGACAAACCAAGTCAGTGACAGATTAGATCAGTAAGTTATGCAGGAAACTAGATAAACTGACAATCTTTCTCTAGAAAATAGCATGCACCATAAGAGACAAAGGAGTCAAAGCAGACTACTGCCTATCTAGCGAAGGTTCTTATACAGCTCCCATCTCCACAGTACTTGAGTGCCTGACTATCTAATGTATTTATCCTCACAATACCCTGTGAGGTAGGGAAATATTATCCCCATTTTGCAGGTGGGGAACTGAGGCACGGAGAGACTAAGTGACTTGCTTAAGGTTACATAAGAAGTCTGTGGCAGAACAGGGAATTGTATCCAGGTCATTAAGTCCCCTGTCTCTCTTGTATTTTACCTTTAGATAAAGGAAAGTGACTGATGGATCTCCAAACTATTCATTATTTGATAACTTTCATCAAGGAAACTAAATAGCACAAGTTTAATCTTGCCTCACACAATCTCTCGCCCTCTTCATTGCACAACCTGAGAAAGTCAGCATTCTTTTTGAGGGAAGGAGACCAAAACTGAATGCAATATTCAAGTCAAAGACATATTGGTTTTAAAATGCCAACTATCACGCTTTTAGCAATTAATGACTGCTATCCATTAAGTACAAAACAGTGAACTGTCCATAATAAGATCTGCCCTGTGTCTTCCCCCCACCCCTAAGTCTCTAAATTAGCTAGCATCTTGCAAAATGCATGCAAAACTCAAATTCATTCCCTAGATGTGAATTACTTTGCAGATATCTGGGTTAAGTGGCAGCTGATATTTTAGATGCCTGAATACCAAGCCTGAAATGCTCTAAAAAGATGTAGATCATGTTGCTATGTTGGTTAAAGGTTTGCAAATCTATCACGTTTTCTTGAGTTATAAATATTTAGCTATTAAACAGGACTCCACACCAGGCCCCAAAGAACCACACTTATAGCCTTCTTGTACCTAGAGAAATAGTCACTTACACTCATGCTGCTTTCTAACACTAAGTAATTTTTAAATCATGGTAGAACTTCACCAGATGCTCAGATCCATGTGGCATTACTCAAGATGGCTTCCTTAGCAAGTTCTTTCATAATTCTACAGGAGGCCAAGCTGCTGCAAAAAAATCTCCTAACTCAATTTAACTGAAAGTACTTTATTCACTTTCTGTTTCTCCACCCCATTCTACATCCAGTCTTCAAAACTTAGCTGCTAATTGTCCTATTTCCTCTCCACTCTACCTTGTAACAGGGGCCTAACAGCTGTAAGTAACTTGGAAGGACTTTGGAGAGCAAGCAGGAGAAAGCACAAGATGCACTCATTCATTTTCATTAAAAGCCTAGATTTACACCCCACAGCCATCCTTCCTCCATATTATTAGATCTCACAGTGACAGCCTGGAGAACTAATGTTTTTATACTGCCAAATTGAGTTTGCATCTGGCCCAGTAGGAGACATTATTGAAGAAAGATGTCACTCACCCTTCCAACTCACTATTTCCAGTTAACCTATCCAAGAAGCTGAGTACATTCACTGTTAGAACAAATTAACACATTAGTACTAGTAGACCATTGGATCATCCTTGATCAGGCAGATTAAGGCTAAAGACCACCATGCTCTTTCCCTAGCTGCTTATAATTCTGCTTATAATTTCCCTAGCTGCTTACAATAGTTAACTAATAAGGGTTATTAGTTAACTAGCTACCTTTGATTCACTGGGTGCTGCAGATGAAAGTGGTGAGAAGCCCAGCTCGCTGGCAGAAGAAGTGGTCTTTGCAAGGGAGGGCGGCTGGTCATCTGTATGGGGAATGGATTCATTGGGTGTTGAACTTCGGGAGAGAGGTGTTTCCTGTAGAGATTGGGAGATCACTCGATCCAGCACCCAGCCAGAGTAGGATGACAACTTGGGAGGGGACCGGCATCCTTCCAAAATATCCTAGAGAGAGAGAGAGAGAGAGAATTTCTTCTATGAGCATGTAAACTCTATACCAGAAACCTACTGACTGCTATACTTACCTACATGCCTCCAGCTTTCATCCAGACCACATCACACGATCCATCGTCTACAGCCAAGCTCGAAGATAAAACTGCATTTGTTCTTAAAACTACAATACCCAACTGGTGATGTGAAGAAACAGATTGACAGAGCCAGAAGGATACCCAGAAGTCACCTACTATAAGACAGGCCCAACAAAGGAAGTAACACCACTAGCCATCACCTACAGCCCCCAACTAAAACCTCTCCAGCGCATCATCAAGGATCTACAACCTATCCTGAAGGACGATCCCTCACTCTCACAGACCTTGGGAGACAGGCCAGTCCTCACTTACAGACAGCCCCCCAACCTGAAGCAAATACTCACCAGCAACTATACACCACACAACAAAAACACTAACCCAGGAACCAAACCCTGCAACAAATCCTGGTGCCAACTCTGTCCACATATCTATTCAAGGGACACTATCATAGGACCTAACCACATCAGCCACACCATCAGGGACTTGTTCACCTGCACATCTACCAATGTGATATATGCCATCATGTGCCAGCAATGCTCCTCTGCCATGTACATTGGCCAGACCAGACAGTTTCTATGCAACAGAATAAACGGACACAAATCTGACATCAGGTATTATAACATTCAAAAACCAGTAGGAGAATACTTCAATCTCCCTGATCACTCAACAACAGACTTTAAAAGTGGCAATTCTTCAACAACAACAAAAAAATTCAAAAACAGACTCCAACGAGAAACTACAGAACTAGAAATAATTTGCAAACTGGACACCATCAAATTAGGCCTGAATAAAGACTGGGAGTGGATAGGTCATTACAAAAACTAATTTCCCCATACTGTTACTCACACCTTCTTGTCAACTGTTTGAAATGGGCCACCCTCATTACCACTACAAAAGTGATTTTTCCTCCCTTGGTATTCTACAGTTGAGAATAGCCTACTTCCACTTTAATTGAATGGTCTCATTAGCACTGACCCCCCCAGACACACACTTGGTAAGGCAACTCCCATCTTTTCATGTACTGTGTGTATATATCTGCTACTGTATTTTCCACTCCATGCATCTGATGAAGTCGCTTTTAGCCCATGAAAGCTTATGCCCAAATAAATTTGTTAGTCTCTAAGATGCCACAAGGACTCCTTGTTGTTTTTGCTGATACAGACTAACACAGCTACCGCTCTAAAACACAACAGTTTAACTTTAAGAAAAAAAGCTGATCTTGAAAAAGCTCTGATCAGGTCTCATTCACAAGGCTTCATTGTGCAGATACCAATATTACATGATATTACTGTGTCAGCCCCAATACACCATTTGTCTTCTCCTCCTACACACTTCTCCGCACTCATTTCCTTGCTGCCCCCTATGCATGGAACACCCTTCTTGAGCTGGTCCACACAGCCACTTAATCTCTCCTCACTTAAATCACTCCACAGGGTCCACTTCTTCGATATTATGCCTACAAGAAGCCAGCTAAGTGTATGTCTAAACTAGAAATGCTGCAGCTGCACCATGATAACGTAGAGAGACTACAGCGACAGAAGGCATTATCCTGTTACTGTAGTTAATCCACCTCTCTGAGAGGGCAGTAGCTAGGTCAATGGAAGACTTTGTCCGTTGATCTAGCAGTGTCTACACTGGGGCTTAGGTCAGTTAACTACATTTGTCAGGGGTGTGAATTTTTCATACCCTTGGTCGACATAGCTAGGATGACTTAAGTTTTAGGTATAGACTGGGCCTTAGTCATCTACTTATTTATTTAACTTATCCCAGGAGTAACTACTCATGTATTAGAGGCCAGGGATCAAATGGTAGGAAGGAGAGACATAAGGTGGAACTGAAACTGGGTATTGTTGTTGGGGATCAAAAAGACGACGAATCGGAGGGGAGAATGCAACATGTTTAATTTGTCATCAGTCAACATTGCTCTAATCGTCTTGCTTGTCTGTTGTATTCTGTTTACCAGCCTCATCTTTGTCTTTTTTATATTGCAACATCTTATAGGGCAGACACTGTATTTTTCTCAGTCTGGAAAACACCTAGCATAGTCAACACGTCATTACAATTTAATTAATCTACAGATAGATTTGGGAACAGTTATGGAAAGCGCCAAAGAAAGGTCTTGACGAAACGTAGTTCAAAAGGAAGTTTTATACACAAGGAGTAGTAACGTCCTAAGGGCCAAATGTACTGGCCACATATACTCAACCAAATCAAAAGCCCCACAAACTAGGATCACCAGCCAGTAGGTCCATTCTTGCATACCAACAAGGGATCTACTCACCAGGCAGAAAATTAAAAATAGATCTGTCTGTAGCTGCCAGATACGCAGCAACACCACTTAAGAAAGAAGGGAACTCTGTCGTCAACCCAAGTCTGAGAAATTTTATTGAATATTGAACAGAGTGAAAAATCTCTCAAGAAGCCCAGCTCACTGGAAACAAACTTTGCACTACAGAGATCACCACCAATGATCTGAGATTAACTAATACACTGGGTGGGAGGGAGGCAGAAGTCAGCTATTTCATTAATTGCTTTAAAAATGAAGCCAAGCGTAAAGCTATAATACTTGGGGGTTTTGAGGCAACAATAAGAATTAAGTAGTAGCCTGAAGGGCCAGAAGTTTTCAGAGTGAGATCTTTATATAAGCCACCAACTATAAAATACTGCAAACAGGATTTCAGACAGCACCAGTCAGGACACATGCACGAAGTAGTGGCTCATAAAACCTCTGTTTACATCAGTGGGTCTTAGTCTGTGAGTTGCCAAACACTTTTGATAAGTGACCTAACAAGAATGGGTAAGAAGCCAAACAAGTCAGTCAAACTGATCACCAGAGCAGGGCTGGCAGGAAGCGGGTCCAGCACCCCCACCCCCTGCATGTGAGGGGGGAGTCCCCGAGCAGGGCCGGGCGGGGGTGGGTCCAGCCCAGCCCCGCCCCGTCCCTTGTGTGTGGGGGGGGGTCCCCGAGCAGAGCTGGGCGGGTCCAGTCCCCCCCCCATATGTGGGGTAGGGTCCCCGCAGCGCTCCCCCACTCCGCACTCACCTCACCCCGCAGCAGCCAGTCCTGGGAGTAGCTCAGCTGCCCCTTGCTGGAACCCTTGAGCGCCTCCAGGGTCTCCCAGCGATACCGCTCCGACGGCATCTCGACCCAGCCGCGGGATCGCCGCCGGCCAGCTCCACCCCCGCCAACCGTCACGCATGACGAGGACACAAATGATCTTTGACCCCCTCACACTCCTTCCGTTTCCGGGCACCCTGGGCTCTCCTCCTGCAGTGGGTGAGGAAACTGCAGAGGCGCCTGAGGGGCCCCACAGCGCCCCCTAAGGGCGAGCACGGAACTCTGCAGTCCTCAATGGGCCGCCTGGTGCAGTTCTGTCTGTTAAGCCCCCATTCGCAGCCCGAAGCGTGCTCCCGCTGCTAGGGGCTGCCCCCAGGGGAAACAACTGCTGTCTACGCCTGGTGAAATCCTGGCTCCAGGCAAAACTCCAAACGGTTTAAGTGGCGCTCGGCTTTCTTCCTGGAGTGACCAGCAGAAGCGACCCCCAGTCGAGTCCAGTCCAGTTCCCCTGGCCCTGGCCGAGTATGAAGGCAAGAGCCCCTGCCCAGGCACAGAAAGCCTCCAATCCATTATAGTCCTCTGGGGATAGGCCCACCTTTTCATTACAAACACCCAGGTTTGTTTTATTGCATTGATTACCTGGTCAAACGTGGGAGGCAACTCCTCCAGTGTGGCTCCATACAGACACCGTCCTGGAGGAGGAGAACAACAGTTACAGCACATTTGTCAGGACTGGCTTGTGATTCATATTATTCCCATGTACAAGTCTCCGTTTTTCCCAAAATCAATATTGGCACCAGTCTGTTTGCTGAAGGTTTCTCACAACACACAAAAATACTTCAAACAGAAAAATGTTCACTATTTAGGACTAGAGCTGCCCCAGCACAGAGGTCTGCTCATGTGGATCCAGTTGCAAAAGCCAGCCCTTAGTTTATAACTCTTAAGAGCTAGGAAATTACACATAGCAGACTTGGCCCAGAAGTGCCTGAGCTGAGTTTTTTTCTGTTAATTTTATGACAGGTTAGAATCTACATAACCTTTCTTACATTTATTTCTCTCTATGCGTAAGGTAAGAGAAGAGTATCTCTCCTTAAGGGATCAGATTTCAGAGTAACAGCCATGTTAGTCTGTATTCGCAAAAAGAAAAGGAGTACTTGGGGCACCTTAGAGACTAACCAATTTATTTGAGCATGAGCTTCTGTGAGCTACAGCTCACTTCATTGGATGCATACTGTGGAAACTGCAGAAGACATTATATACACAGACACCATGAAACAATACCTCCTCCCACCCCACTCTCCTGCTGGTAATAGCTTAAGGGATAACTTAATATCCTTAAGGGATAACTCCCTCAGAGAGTGATGCCACTATTGCTCCAGGAAAAAAGATCCCTGAGGCAAAAGATGACCCATTTGGTATCGCGTATTTAACCGCCTCCTGCTGGGATTGCACTGTATAATTTCACCTTTGGTAAATTAGGAACAAAGGTCGTTCTGTGGCAGGTTGACTCAAAGTTTGCCATGGCATCCATTTAAAAAAGGTGATGTGTGCAGCAACCACCAGCCTACCAAAACCGCCCATTCAGTAACTGTTTTCAGTAGAACTCAAAACAGCCATTTCAGGCCAGATTTTCAAGTTAAACCTAATCTCTGTTGAATATCTGTCCTTAAATATCAAAATGGGAGCTGCTGGGTGCGAACCTCTTGAAAAATTGCCCTCTAGCTGGACATTGCAGATCAAATGTCACTAAAGGAATCTTACAGAGTATGGTGAAAGATGTAGATTAGTGAGGGCATCCGAGTTCTCTCTCTGGCTCTGGCACAAGTTTCACAAGTGACCTTGGACTAATAATTTCATTGCTCTGTGCCTCAGTTTCTTTATCTGTAAAATGAAGATAATACCAACTGGAGGAAGAAGGCTAATGCCATGCTGAATGTTTACATTGCTTCAAAACTCTGCTGCACACTTTTAAGTGCCTTCCTCTCCCATGTATTGCATAATGACCAAGGTTTATGTCTGGAGCATCTGGTATACTTCTAGGAGGAGGATATTAAGATAGATAGAGCAAAGGAATTGTCATGTTTCATATTAGTGTACTAGCCCTTGTCCCATTCCTGCAGCAGCTTTGTGCCTTGAACTGCACTGAGACCATAGGAGGTCCATGCATAAAATGGATGGAGCATTAGGCTCCTTACCAAGGAGTACACACAAAATAAAAGCAAGAAAGAGAGGGATGCCTACATGATGAAATCTAAGGAGACAACCTGGATCCAATGAACTTGGAACAGAAAACTGAACTAACTGTGACAGTAGTGTATGAAAAGTAAAACAAATTCCAACTACAGAATAGGATCTCAGAGTAACTGCTGAATGATAATGCGATACAGCAGAGGCAGATGCAGTACTTAGAAATCCCACCCCAACTGCTAGGTGTTCCTGTGGGAGAGAACAGTGATAGACTAGGGATTCATTCAAAAATAATGCTGGGAGGTTTACAGTCATGGAAGACTTCAGCTGCATCAGGAGTTCTGCATGCTTACGGAAGTGAGCCAACTCAGCCAAAAGGACTGCCTCTGTATGTCTCTTCAGAGACAGAATGATACAAACATCAAGGAAGCTGCAACACATGGAACGTATGAAGGAGCCAACATTTTCATTTTCCACAACACAAGAGAACAGAGAAAAGCACTGGACCCTATTAAAATCACAAGACAGAGGGCTTTTTTCCTTACTGCCTTTGGCAAATGTAAAATTCAAAGTCTAGGATACATGGGCCATTAAGACCTTGACACTTCTTGATTCAGAATGACAGGACTATGGTATTTTGTGCTGGAGCTAAAAACTGAAAGCTTAAGAACTGATTTTCTTGATTTTATCATACATTTGACTATCAGTGAAGGCTAGTGCAGACTGCTTTCTCCTCCCTTTATTGTAAGGATTCATTTCCCCTCAAGCAACTGCAGCATTATCCCCATGAACAAATTTATGTATTTTGAGCACCAGTGCTGATGGTTCAAAGGTGTATTAGTTTTGATCTTTAAAATAAGATTAAATTTTAAAAAATCCATGAATTTCCTTTGAGACATTAGCTCCTACAAAACACCAGAAGCATGATGGAGGGGAACAACTGTAGAAAGACAGTGAGGCAATTTATAAGATGAAGTGTCAACCTCAGAAACACCACGCATTTTAAAACTTCTGAAGTTTAATAATTTTATCATAGCACCTTCTGGATTTTTTTTAAGTTACACATTAAAACAGAACTCTCAAATACTGATTAAAAGAAACGTAGAAATCCTTTACCAAACATTCCACTGATTACTGCATTTCATATAAACAGAATTTAAAACAAACAAAAAAACACCAAAAAGCCCCCCAGCCAAACAGCTGTGGTTGAAACAAAATGAATATTTACTATATTTCAGAACAGCTGCTTACTGGAGGACACAGTAGAGCTCATAGACCTTGACATTTCTTCACATGCCAGAGATGACCTCACATCACAGGAGTATGTGCAGGCTGGCTCTGAGGGCAAAGCCAAGCATCAAGTCTGTCTTTTTATTTTATTTTTCCCTACAGCTAACTCAAAGCTCCCACTGTATTTGGATTGGGGTCCTGATTCCAGACCCACTGAAATTAATGTGACTCTTTCCATGACTTCAAATGGCTTTGACTCAGACCCTGGTATGTGCAAGGTATGCAGGATCAGGCTGTTGGGAGGAAAAGGTCATCCAGAAATATGCAGATTAGAAGCATTAACACACACCAACCACACACTCAAGAACGATAAAGGATCAGACAGTATTCATGAATCAGGTGAGAAACCTTCAGAAGATATAATTTCATTGTTTCCCAGTACAAAATTGTTTATAAAAAGGGTGGATGATCAGGAGGGAACCCACTCTGTGTGTGGATTCCAGTCACTTAGTTATCACTGTTGGGTTCACACTTGTACTGGTGGCACTGTCTCCCAGTATCCCCATTGGTCAGCTGTATCAACACAGTATGTGAGAGTTAAAAACAAACATGATCTTTGCAGTGTGAGAAAAGAACATAAGGTAGGAAGAGCAAAAAGGAAGAGATGTAACTCTTACAAAAATAAAAAATATCTAATATGATTAATTAAAAAGACCACCAGGTTAGTTACAAGAGAAGTAACCACTGGGGGATTAGGAGATGAAAAGGAAAGCATTCCCCACATACTCCAACCCAGATTTGCAGTGTCAATCCCATTTTCCTGTTGTACACCACTGCAGCTCCATCTCACCCAGACAATAAGAATGCGAGGAAGACTTCTCTTTAAATGGACTCTGAAATCCCAACCAGTTTTCTGCACAAGATATGGCTTTGAAATAAGGCCCCCTTTTTGTACCTCTCAATAGCAGAGGGACAGGGAGGGAACTATTATCATGGAGGAGATCGGGAACGGAGAGGTGAGCTCAATAAGGCACTTTCTCCAAAAACATTGGCATAAGAGGACTTGAGGAACTGGACATAGTTTTGCATGCTGCGGTTGGTGCTTTCAGACTGCTCCAGGCGATCCTTTAAATCCTGTAGACGGCTTTGGTATCGGTGCTCTGACTGCATGAAGAAGACACAAAACACAGGGCTGAAGGCTAGAGATTTTTCATTCTAGTCATGCTAGCCTTAACTCTTATCATTCTCTGGGATTTTTATGAACAATATGGCACTGCAACACACACCACTTAACACTAAAAGTCTATCACTCATTTCACTCAGTCCCAACCCCACACATCAACTTGTATATAAATGCTCAAGATAACACAGCCAATCAGAATAGGAACTTAACATTCTGATTAACTAATGGTTGAAAACAAAATGGAACCACTCTCTAGGAAGAAACTCAGGAGGTTATCACCTGCTGTAGGTCAGCCCTCTTCCAATCCCAGGGCTAAAGTAAACAGGGAAAGAAAACGGGAGACCAAATGTAAAATATCCCCTTCAACGAGAACAAAATCATTCTCCTAGCAGAGGAACACTCCTCAGCCCCTCTCTTGTACATCCAAAGGTGATGAAAGGGAGGAAAAGAACTCCCCCCTAAATGTAGCAATACCTGCACTGTCTGGACCCCTTCCGTTCTCCAGGTTTTTGATGTAGTGTTTGTCTGAATAG